ATAACTGAGATCGACACTCAGATTAGCATACATGCATTATATTCACAAGTCTGCTGACCGGGTTTGGATACTACCTTACAAACAGAGGTATTCCTTACAAACAGAGTTAACTCTGTTTGTAAGGAATACCTCTGTTTGTAAGGTAGTATCCAAACCCGGTCAGCAGACTTGTGAATATAATGCATGTATGCTAATCTGAGTGTCGATCTCAGTTATAGGATTGAGTAGATTGCTTGCTATCTACTTAATCCTGTAACTGAGATCGGAACTCGGATTAGCATACATGTATATAAGACTATATAGTATACACATGCTCTGCAGCTGTTACCTTTTTCTCTTCAAGTTGGTGCTGCTGGAGGCCACACTCATTCTCTGCAACATTCTGTGGTACCGTTTCTTGTTTGGCCTATACTCTCATCTTCCTTATCGTCCAGCTAGTACTGTAATTTACTCAGTCGACCTGCCTTGGTCTTCCTCTCCGCTCTGGTGCTCTTACGAGCTGATGTTAAATATAATCCTGTCTGTATCTGCTCTCTCTCCAGCAGTAGTAGACTAGTAGTAGCTCTTAACTTTGAGGATATTGTCAAATTAATGCAAAAATCATGTACCAAGTTACACATCTGTTTGGCGATACGATATGCCAATAATGGGTACCAGACTTGCAAGGCTGGCGAAGTGGTCAGCAATAATAAATAAACAGTCAGTCATTCCTACTTTGTAGTACCTGGTAGGCCACCTATGAAGTCCATAGAATAGAAAATCTGATATGGACTGTCCATATTTTTCCAGAATAGGCAAAGTTTAACTTCCTCGGATCCCATGGAGCTGCTGATTTTGCTCTTTGGTATGGTGGGAAACAGTGAAACGTTGGAACTTGGACGTTCTCCGTTGCATCCGCCCGCTTACACGTTGGCAGTAAAACCGCTAATGAGTTTCACGTAATTTGTCTTGAGCCTGAAGTGTACCTGTATGTGTGTCATGGCATTTGCCAAGAACCCTTGAGCCTGAGGCCCTGGGGGACCAAGCCAGCTATCCAGCTAGTGAACCCGAAGTGAGCCCAGCCTTTACCAAGATCAGCCTCGGGGACCAAGCCAACTATCTCAGCTGGTAAACCCGAAGTGAGCCCCAGGGGCCGGGGGGAATCGGACAAAGGACATGAGGAATCGAACCCACAACCTCCTGAATGTCACTTGCATGTTCTACCAACTGAGCTACTAGGCCGCTGCCGCCTGTATCTACAACCTTTCTGTTTCCTGGGTTCCCCCCTCGTTATTATTCTTCGACGTGAAGTTGAAGCCTTGAAGGTGATATTACAACAGACCATCGTGCCAACTTCTGCGATTTCATCCGCAGCTGCAGTCTTTTGATGATCCCAGTGGACGTCGAAGGGGGGCCCTAGCAGATAATGCTTCCATGTGCTTACGGAATAACTTAACAAATATGGATCCCTCTCGTAGGTGTGGGGCTGTTTCTCTTTTTTATGGCATGCGCTTGCAATGGACGGGTATTCTACAGGCCTTAGTCCGTGCCATCCTTCTCTTGCAGTACCACTTCCATTCCAAACTGGCTGGCATTTGTAGACTGCACAAATAGTATTGCAGGGTTTTCAGCAAATCGGGCTCCACCACGGGTTGAATTTGGAGCATGCCGCCTTTGCCATCCCCGACAAATGGGTCCCTGAATTTCAGCAGACGTTGACTCTCTTTTTTGGGGGAAAAATGTTTTGAAATGCCCCTCCGACCTCCATTTATTTGTGGTTATGCCCCTCCGACGGCAGACTTACCCTGTCGTGCGTGCCACTGGGGCCTCTGAATTTTCCTGCAGACCGCTGTCAGTGACGGGTGCAACTTTCCAGCATGCCCCTGTCACAGTGGTCGTTGGTGGCATTCGTGGCGGTCGGTTCCCCTGGCCCTGGGAGGGGACCTGCAGGGGCTTACCGGAAATTTGGAGCCGATACCCGTAGGGGCATACTGAACATATTTCAGGCCCAAACGATGCATAGTTGTTGTGGAGAACATGTGTACGGTTGTTAGTACGACCTTGCATACACCCCTATTATGGGCAGTACGCCCGTACTTACACCCATATTATGGGCAGTACGCCCGTACTTACACCCATATTATGGGCAGTACGCCCGTACTAACAAACATATTATGGGCAGTACGCCCGTACTAACAAACATATTATGGGCAGTACGCCCGTACGAACACCCATATTATGGGCAGTACGGGCGTACTAACACCCATATTATGTTTCAGGTAGTACATGTGTAGGGTTGTTGTGGAGAACATGTGTACGGTTGTTAGTACGATCTTACATACTACCCGTACTGCATCACACAAGCTAGTTGTTGTTGAGAAGCAGGTGGGCTTTTGTTAGCTTATTCAGGCTAAGCCATGTTTCACGAACACCGATTTTGGGTTTCTGACTGTTAATTACAAAAAAATAATCGCGAGAAACGAACGCTGGGGTAAATGGGACGTTGGGTACAATGCTCTTGATTTCTTTTTTCTTTTTCTGTTGAAGGATTACTGTTTTTGAACTGAATTGCACCATGATTGTGGTCAGATACATGAGGACAGGAAAACCCAAAAGCCATCGAAATGCGCAGACTTCAAACTAGCAGGTTTGAGGACGATGTTATGATAAGGGAAAAAATAAAATAAAAAAATCTGAAAGGGACGGAAAAGAGGAGCATGGACTGTGGACTTTTTTTTTGTTTTTTTTTTGTTTTGTTTTAACAATCCGAAGCCCAGAAAAACAAATTTAATATCGTTGTGGCCCGATGGACCACGGATCAGATATTAAACTTATCAGAACCGATACTACACTTGATCTTACTTAGCCAAAAGGCCGAGAAAGGTTTTGGACATCATTTTCTTTTTTTTTTGCTTCCCAATTTTTTGAAAAATGCTATAGAGGTTCCAAGTCCTATCAGTGTATTTCTGAATATTGTGGACGATTTGTTTTTGACAATTTGATGTGTTTGTTCCTTGGATATGACCGTCGTCCTTGTGATCGTGCATGATGATGGTGAGCAGCTCTGGACACGGATTTGAGGGACGATGGGGTAAATACATTGATCCGTCTGGGGACCGAAAGAGTAAGTTACTACCATTCCAGAAATGAAAAAAAGAATTCGGACATCTTTTTGCTGTAAAAAAACCTCGGTATGGCCATGATTTGGATTTACAAACTTCCCCGCTCTGTTTTTTTTTTGTTTTTTTTTTTGGTTCTGTTTTGTTTTGGTTAAAAAGGTGTCACCGTGAATGTACAGATACTAGAGTAAAAACCGAGTACAACATTCAATGGAGATCAATCAGCAAGACCGAACGAACAACAAAAAGCACAGAAGAGAACGTGAATGCGACCACTCAGTCTGTTAAAAATTAAAATATATAACAATGAGATGCAAGTTCAACAGCTTTTAAAAACACAATGAATGCTCTACCACCTGAGCTACTCCAGGGGCATGGTCCCATTAGCAGTCAGATGAGAGTGTGGCCGATCCAGTGTGACACTGTGGCAGCGGCCTATTAACAGGTTTATTACGAATTTCTAGGTTGAGAAAACAGGAGAAAGGGGAAAAAAAAAAAGAAGAAAAAAGAAACAGAGACCTCCCACCGGAAATCACGGCAGAGTGCTTCCTAGCCATCAGATCAGAAATGATCGGATGGTGATGGTTGCACCAAGTTGAACAGTGAACAGTGAACACAGTAACTGCCACATTTTTCTGGAATAAACTCTGACTTCTGTCAGCAGTGAGGATCATGACGCCCTCCATATATATACTCCGTGATTGAAGGAGGGCTCCGCCCAATGAGATAATTGCACAACAGCAACCAAAATACTGAAAATCTTCTATCCAGTGGGCCTATGGACGATCCCACCCTCTTTTGGGATTGGCCATACCCCCAATGGGTTGAAAAGTCTTTGGCGGGAAGCTTCCTTTGCACCGGCATGCGCAGTGTTAAAAAGGAGACAGGGAGGAGGAGGGGGGGGAACAAAGATCTCCTTACTTTTTCGGGTAATACATGCAAAAGAGCAAGGCTTCCACAGTGCTTCGTGTCTTGAGAAGGCCAACCAGAACAAAAAAGGAGCTGGATGCCACCCATTGGCAGCGTCCAGCACACACCAATGGCTCCCATCCAGTGGTGGCTGATGGGAGTACACTAAAAGCTGATTTTTTTTTTTTTTTTTTTGTGTTGAAAAACAACCAAGCGGAAGCTAGAGGTGCTGGTAAGAACAGCAGACACTCCCCACCAATAGATGAATTTTGCTTTCTTTATCTCAAAGAAAGCGAGTTCTTCAAATCTGTTAACAGAAGTTGAGAGAAGAATATAGACAGTTGTGATCACCCCAAAAAAAAAAAAAAAAAAAAAAAAAAAAAGGCGGGTCGTGCAGCACTGACCCACGTCTAGCCGGTCCTGGCCCCAGGAGGAAAAAAATTCCCATCCAGTACGAATTCAACTGGGAGTCTGGGAGGAAACGCCGCCGCTTGCACATGGCCTACGGAACCATTTCCCTGGAGCAAGTACTGGCTGCCTGTACTTCAAGAGTGACACCTGTGTAGGAGAGGACGCTGTTGGTTTAACGCACCTGTACGGAGGGCCCTAACTTGCAGAACCTAATAATTCTTTTGCACCCAAATGAATGGAGCCGGTCCTCGCCAGGCTGGACATCCGCTTCTGCCTGCTTGTAAATCGTTTGCACCCCCAGCCTGACGAATAAAGGGCCCTCGTTTGCACCCTCTGCGGCTCTGCCAGGCTGTTTATACAGAGGGCGGCCTGCTTGTGTGTACGGCTTATCATCTTGGAGGCCGGGCTGTGTACTGGTGGCTGAAAAGAAGCATGTGGGATGTTGTGCTGTAGCATCTGTTTTTCAACTTTTTCTTTTCTCTTTTTTTTTCTTTTTTTTATCTATTTTAAAAGTTTTTTGCCCCTCTTTTTGAAAAGGAGGATGGGGTTCAGATGTCATCATTCACCTGTCAGGTAATCCAGAACTATTTTATTCTGTTCATCTGATTGATTATGGATTTAAACTCGGGTCGGGTCTGTTTGTCAGCAGTTCGTGGGGTGTATCGATTAAGCTTCTTTTTTTTGCCTTCTCGAGACGGAAAAAGAAAAGAGCTGTGGCTCAAACGTGCTGTACGTGCTGTACAGCTGGTCCCCGCCAGGCTGTACATTGCAAGTGCTGACTGCCCGTTGTACGGTCTATCATTTTGGAGGCTGGGGCTCGTACTGGTGGTTTAATGAAACATGTGCAATTTGCTGTAGCATCTTTGTTTTTTTTTTGTTTTTTTTTTTTTGTAAGTACTTAGAAAGTCTTAAACACACACATATATATATTTTACTCGAACGCATAAAAAAGTCTGTTGTTAATGAGCCAGCACGGCAGACCCTGAATTGCGCAACCTAATGGTTTTGCACCCGAACAAATGGAGCTCATTTGTACGGCCTATCATTTGGGAGGCCGGGGCTCCTACTGGTGGGTTAGTAGAACATGTGCAATCTGCTGTAGCATCTTTGTTTCGTACTGAAAAGCCAAAAAAAGTCTGTGGTGATTTTGGCTGGCGGTTTAGCAGTTTTCTATGCTTTTGGATTTCCTTTTTCTAGTTTTCAAATTGTAGACTTTCTACATGCGAGCGGCTCTGCCTGGGGTGTAGGGTGGAGGCCTTGCGGTGCTTGAGGAGCTTTTCATCCGCTTGTTGCTGTAATGATTGCCTTGGGCACTGGGCCGGTAATGAAATTCCCTTCTTTTTTTTTTTTTTTTTTTTTAACACTCTCATATATTCCAAAGCAGAACTGGGGGAGGCCGGGGACCTCACAATTCAACCCGGAGTTGTTTTGTTTTTTTTTTGGTGTGGGGGGGGAGGAGGTCTGTGGCCCTGAATTGTGGAACCTTGTTGTTCTGCACCCTCGGAAATCAACCTGGTTGCATCAGGCCGATTGATAGAAAGCTGAGGATTCTCGTGTACACCCCACCATTGTGAGGCCGTGGCCCATACAGGTGGTTAAATAAAAATATGCGCAATGTGCTGTATCATCTTTCTTTTTTTTTGTTTCTTTTCCTACCTCAGAAGAAACCGAAATAAAAGAGCCTGTGATTCAAACCACGAATACCTCCGAGCGTCTTTTGCCAAAGGCGGATTCTCCCTGTGCGGCAAGCTTTGCCAAAACGCCAGTGTGCCATGCTTTTGTCCCCCTCTTGGCTGAGTCCTCCAGCTATATTTTAGTCAGGCAGCACTCTGCATATGGGGCCTTGCTGCACTACTGCCACTACTCTCCACGTGCACAAAAGACGAAAAATATGGCGCTGTATCTCTTGGCGTTCTAGGGGAAGATTCATCCTTATTTTGCACATTTGGAGAGTAGTGCAGTTATTTCCATGAAGTCTTCAGGATGATGTAAGTGCGATTCTCGACATTGCCTTGGGAGGGCTCAGGGCAGTGATGGTTTAATGTGCCAGTACGGTGGACCGCAAATTGCGGAAGCCATTCTTTAACACCCGAATGGATTGAGCCAGTCCCTGCCAGGCCCGCAAATAGGACCCGTTTTCCGGTTAGTATGTTGCTTTCCGCAATTTTTTAACACCCGAATGGATTGAGCCAGTCCTTGCCAAGCCTGCAAATAGGACCCCTTTTCTGGTTGGTATAATTCAATAGCAGCTTTCGTATGAACCAGGCTGGTGTGCCTGGATCATACGACACTGGCTGCCCTTCAAGCACACACACACACAAAAAAGGGTTGGACCCCACAGTACGCTCAACTCTTTTCGAGAGGGTAGGGGCCCTGTAGGGGGTCGTGGTGAAAAAGGCTGGAGACCTTGAGGCCCCTGAATTTTCTTCTTCTTCACCAACTTGTATATGTTGCCTTGGGCAGTGGGTCCATAATAAATGCAAGCTTTGCTTTGGAAAAGGAAATAAAATAAGGGCAGGACCCCACAGGACCGCGGCAAACGGTTTCGGAAGTTGCAAGGCAAATTCCTGGACCCCACAGACCAATATTCCCGTGGTGGAAGACGGCGGGGTCCACAGCCCCTTTATTCCTACGTGCCCCTAAATTTCCGTTTTCCAATACTCGTTTCCCTAAATTACCTACCTCCCGGGTGCGTACTCCGGCGCATGCGGACGGAAGTCGGCAGCCCTTCCATTACAACCACTGGTAAGGGACCTGGAATGGCCTTCCAGGCCCTGACCTTTCCCAACTTTCCCAAAAATGAAAACTGCCCCTGAATTTCCTTTTTGGGTAACCACCTCCAATGCAAAAGCAACATTTGGCGGTGGTGGTGGGGTCCCCCCTCTGTTTCATCATCTCCGTAGGCGGTGGGCAGTTGGCTGGAAATAAAAGACTTCCGAAATCGTTTGCCGCCATCCTGTGGGGTCCTACCCTAAGTACTTCATAGGTTAGTCAGTTTTTTTTGCCAAGCGTTTTATGTGAGTACTTGTCAGTTCTGTGCTTCCAATTTTATTATTTTGTCCAGGTTTTTTTTTTTAAGCTTCGTTTCAGCTCTTGCTAAAGATTTTTATTTGTTGTTTCCACTCCTTTATTTTTAATTTCCCCCCCCCTCCTTTTCAGTTCTCTATGAGCGTTTTGTCTGTATTGGGACCACATTTTCGACACTGAGCTTATGTGGACGAGGCCCACAATCAGCAGCATATTAACCTTGCTCCAGTACTCTTGCCAAACATAACTAAAATGGCAACTGTATCTTGCCAGGTTTGAGGGAAGGATACATGCGGCACTCTGAAAGTTTTTTTTTGGGTGGGTGGTGGAACCGAGTCCAGAAGCTCACATGTGACGGAGGGCGTACTCACACTCTGGACTTTTTGTACTAAGCTCTGGACGTGATTGTGGTCAGAAACATCAGGGGGTTGCCGTAATTACACTCAGATTCATTTAGAAAAGTCCTAGTGTGAGTATGCCGTGAATTCATTATTATATTAATTGTTAACTGTCACGCGATGTATGGATCTGCAGCTGTGACAATCAATTAATATACTAATCGATGTAATCAGTCAATTGGCCGATTTTGAGCATATGTGGCTGCTACTGGCCCTTCTTGGAATGTGCTGCGGAAGCTATAGGTGCTCTAGCTTTTTTT